GCCAGGCTTTGGCATCCTGTCTAGGAAACAACCGTGTCACGTTTAATGGCACAGAGGACTGACGACAAAGTCGCCTCGACCCTGGGGTTAAATCGCCATGAAAGACCGACTTGCGAACCTACGACAGCGGCCTCCGGCCCCCAATCTGTGCCAGCAGAAAGCAGGCAGCCAGAGCTCCGCCACCCTGGGGCTGCGCTGAGTCCGTTCCTGCTAATGCACCCGAGGAAGAAGAGGGTGACAGCCCAAGACACCAGGATCCCTCCTTCCGAGTGGGAGACGCGGATGGAGCTCCAGGCTCCTGCTTCAGCCCGGCCCATCCCTGGGCTGTTGCAGGCCACTGTGGAGTGAATCAGCGGGTGGAAGATCTCTCTGCTGCTTTGCTTTCCAAATGAATATATATATTTTTTTAAGATCTGCAGCCTGGCCGAACGGGGCTTGGAAAACCGCAAACAGAAATCTCCAAGAAGAGGGGGCAGGTATTGAGGACACTGAGCTGGGATGCTCCTCCCATCACAGCCCCATGTGATGACGCCCCCCAGGCAGGGTCTGCAACAGATGCCCGGGTAGACCTGGGGTTAGCCAGGGCACCGGCTGCAGCTGGTATCCCCCATCCCCCTCTCCTGTGGTGTCATCGGTTCCACCAGCTGCATGACAAACAGCCACACCCAGACCTGAAGGGGAGGCCTGCACAGCACCCAGAGGCTGTGACAGGGACTCCTGGGGACCTTGTGCTGGGCCCCTCTGCATTAGGGCTCAGTGTGCAAAGTGTGTGTGGTGGGGGGAGACTACAGTCAGATATTTTGGTGACAAAAGGAAAGGACTATGCCAGAAATTGTATTTATCCTCCAATGTCTGCTCTCCACTTCTGTCACAGCAATAGAAGTTGGCTTCCCAGAAAAAATACGACACATCCCATCTTCCCCTGTGCTAGGTCGGGCCAGGTAACCACGTTCTATGCAATAGGAACTAAGCCAACACAATGTCTGTACATTTATAGAACTCTAGTTTTCTGTTTTTAAAGGTTTACTTATTTGAAATGCAGAGCAAGCGACAGAGAGAGGGAGAGACACACAGAGAATCTTCCATCTGCTGGTTCACTCCTCAAATGGCCACTATGGCCAAGGCTGGGACAGACTGGAGCCAGGAGCCACGAGCTTCTTCCAGGTCTCCCATGTGGGTGCAGGGGCCCCCAAGCACTTGGGCCATCTTCTGCTGCTTTCCTAGGTACATCAGCAGGAAGCTGGATAGGAAGTGGAGCAGCTGGGACTCGAACTGGTGCCCATATGGGATGCCTGGGTCACAGGCAGCAGCTTCACCCACCACACCACAGCGCCGGCCTCAGAACTCCGGTTCTTAATGAGGCAGCTGTTTCAAGCCTCTAGAATTTTCTTTCTCCCTCTGCCCTCCCGTGGATTCCTGGGATGTGGATGTGCTGCTCAGAGCCAGAGCCGCCCTCCTGGATTACGAAGGAGCTGACCGTGGATTTGCCGGCACATGAGAGAAGCCACATACGACGAAACAACAAAATATTAGCAGCCTGGGTCCTTGGTGGGGGCGCAGACTTCCGTGAGGCAGAGAAACATGCTTGTTTAAGCCACAGTTCCTTCTATTTGTGTGTGTGTGAGGTGCAGTGGAATCTAAGTAACACTACAACAATTAAGTACCCATGTGTAAGAGAATGAAATTAGACCCTGTCTCACACCACATACAAGAATCAACTCAGTGTGGGTTGAAAGACGAATACACAAAACCTGAAAGTGTAAAACAACTAGGAGAAAAGAGGGGAGAAGCCAGAAGGCACTGGTCTAGGCAACGACTTTGTAGATTTGACCCAAAGGCACAGGCGAGGAAAAGGAAAGACAAACAAATGGAATGACGTCCAAGCAAAAAGCTTCCGCACATAAAGGAGAGGACAAACTGCGGATTGGGAAGAAATATTTGCAAGTCGTGATAAGGAATTCATTCCCAAAACATATAAAGAACTCAAACAACTCGATAGGAAACAAATCGCCCAACTAAGACACAAGCAGGGTATCTAAATAGACATCTCTCACAAGAAGACACGCCAACGGCCAACAGGAGGTGAGAGGATGCAGGCATCCCTAACCCTCAGGGAGATGCAGATTAAAACCACTGGTGAGGTGCCCCTTCTCTCCACTTGGTATGGTCATTTAAAACAACAACACGAGGTGCTGGCCAAGATGTGAGAAAAGGGACAGTGTTGATGGGTGTGCCAATCAGGACAAGCATGATGGAACACGGTATGGAGAGTCCTTTGAAAAAAATACAACTAGAACCATGACTCAGCAATCCCACAAGCACCCACTTCCGGGTCCTGGCCTGAAACACGTGGAGTCAGCCTACCGGAGCCCTGCTCACCACAGCCAAGTTACGGGAGCCCCGGAAGTGCCCATCAGGGGACGAACGGGTGAAGAAAATTCTATCTGAATACACAACAGATATACTCAGACTTCAAAAGGAAGAAATTTGTCATTGTTGACAACACAGGTGGAACTGGAGACCGTTGTGCTAAGCGAAATAATTGAAATATAAAAAAGACAGATACGGCATCTTCTCACTTATGTGTGGAACCCACGGCGCTGGACTAGGAATGGAGTGTGGTGACCAGAGGCTGGGGGTGAGCGGATTGGGGCGATGACAGACATGGTGCAACACCTCAGCTGCGAGGAGCAAGCTTGAGTCCTAACAGTCAATGGCACATCGGCCGGCGCCGCGGCTCACTAGGCTAATCCTTCACCTGCAGTGCTGGCACCCCGGGTTCTAGTCCCGGTTGGGGCGCCGGATTCTGTCCTGGTTGCCCCTCTTCCAGTCCAGCTCTCTGCTGTGGCCCGGGAGTGCAGTGGAGGATGGCCCAAGTCCTTGGGCCCTGCACCCCATGGGAGACCAGGAGAAGTACCTGGCTCCTGCCATCGGATCAGCGCAGTGCGCTGGCTGTAGCAGCCATTTGGGGGGTGAACCAATGGAAGGAAGACCTTTCTCTCTGTCTCTCTCTCTCACTGTCTAACTCTGCCTGTCAAATAAAAAAAAATCAATGGCACAGCACGGCGAATACATCTGCTAACTGACTACTGCACATTTTAACATCACCGAAAGAGCAGTGTCTCATGACTTGATCACAAAAATGTCAACTCTAAGATGACGGCCATGCTAGCTGCCTTAAATCTAATCACCCTGTACTGAGGTCAAAGATGACAGCACCACTTTGCATCTCATAAGTATAAAATAGGCAACTCTAATTTATCAATATAAGAAGAAGAAAAAGGAGGAGGAGGAGGAGAAAAAGAGGAAGAAGAACAAGAAGAAAAGGAAGGAATAAAGACATAAATGCAGGAGTTAGAATGTTGTCAGTGCGTCAACTTTGAAATTCAAGTTGGACTGGAGAATGGCTTGGGCCTGGCACCAAGGGAGCGCGGGCCTTGCTACTGCCCTGTACTCCCAGTCCGGATGCTGAGCTGGACAGCAGACCCAGCCACGTGAAGCCGGGACATGCAGCGCGAGTCCTTCTTTTTTTATTTTTTTATTTTTTGACAGGCAGAGTGGACAGTGAGAGAGAGAGACAGAGAGAAAGGTCTTCCTTTTTGCCGTTGGTTCACCCTCCAATGGCCGCCACGGCCGGCACGCTGCGGCCGGCATACCGCACTGATCCGATGGCAGGAGCCAGGTGCTTCTCCTGGTCTCCCATGGGGTGCAGGGCCCAAGCACTTGGGCCATCCTCCACTGCACTCCCGGGCCACAGCAGAGAGCTGGCCTGGAAGAGGGGCAACCGGGACAGAATCCGGCGCCCCGACCGGGACTAGAACCCGGTGTGCCGGCGCCGCAAGGCGGAGAATTAGCCTAGTGAGTCGCGGCGCTGGCCAGTGAGTCCTTCTTGAATCTTGTGGCAACACACATTCTGATTCAGCAGGTCTGCGTGGGGCCTGAGACGCGGAGCAGCCGGGACTGGGACTGGCACCCCACGGGATGCCGGCACTGGGCGGCCTTCCCCGCTGTGCCGCAGCACGGGCCCAGGCGGGAGCTCTGAGGAGGGCTCCTCTCACGCTCAGGGCCAGGACTGCTCTAAGAGGAGGGAGGCACCTGCCTTGGGAGTGAAGGTTAAGAGGAAAGGGGCACCGAAAATGTCCATAATCCAGATAATATTTAATTAATTAATTTATTTGACTGGCAGAGCGACAGAGGGGAGACAGAGATGATAAATAGATAGACAGCTATGCTACGTCTGCTGGTTCACCCCTCAAATGACTGCAACAGCCAGGGCTGGGCCAGGCGGAAGCCGGGAACCAGGAGCTCCATCCTGGACTCCCAAGCAGGTGACGGAAACCCAGGTACCTGGCCCTCCTGTGCTGCCTCCCGGGCACATCAGCGGGAAGCTGGGCTGGAAGTGGGGTAACCGGGACCCGGACACTCCCATAGGGGAGGTGGTGGCTTGACACCCTGGGCCACGGTGCCTGCCCCAGCACAGTATTTTAATACAGTCTCCCTCCCCAAAACCAGGAAAAAAAATTAACAGGAAGAATTCACAGTGAAGCAGATCCAAACACTGCGGGTACATGTGGCATCTGTGGCGGTGCCGTGTGGAGCCACGCCGGCGCCTTTGGCAAAGGGAAAGTCGGTGACCCTGGGGCTGTGGGATCCGGGGCTCCCCACCGGGCTGAGGGTTCCAGGGCAGGGGGTAGCCGGCACGCATGCCGAGTCCCGCCGCCCCGCCACGCGCCGGGCCGCCTTTGCTCCCGGTCCCCGCAGTGAGTTGACCCCAGACCCTTACAGACCCAGGCCAGCAGCGTTAACGCTGGTACACCTTGCCTCTCTCGCACGCATCCCATTGTCGCATCCACCTTACAGGGGGCAGGCGCCCCTCTAGAACCCAGACGCGGCGCTGGGGCGTCCCCCCCTACGCCCCCCACCCCGGCAAGCCCCTTCCTCCGATCCCGGGGCCCCGGGGTGGGGAGCGCACGACGCGCGCTGGGCACGGAAAGACCGCCTTGGACGCACTGCGGGCGCTGCGCCTTTATTGACTGTGGGGTCGGGGGCCGGGGCGCGTCAGCGCACCGTGTACCGGTCCCACCGCCTCTCGGGGTCGTAGGGCTCCCAGCGGCTGGCCGGGAAGATGTGCTTGTTCTTCTCGTACCAGCTGCGCAGCACCACCTTGCCCGCGTGCGACTCGTCCTTCTCCCGGGTGGCGTCGCTGCGCAGCCGCACATCGTCGTGCACGTCGAAGCTGAAGAGCGGCCCGCTCTTGCCGCGCGCCCGCGCCACGATGAAGTCGTAGAAGGTGTGGTGGTGCGGCAGGATGAGGTCCTCCTTGACGTACATGAGCTGCTCCACGCCCGCCGCGCGCAGCTCGCGGAAGTCCTTGCGCAGCCCCTGCAGCGCGGCCTTGAGGAACTGCTGCACCGTGCTGCCCTTGCGCATGCGCGCCGTGCGCCGGTGGCCCGAGCCGTCCCAGTAGCTGAAGGTCACGTCCACCGCCTCGCCTTTTCACCTGCTCGCGCCGGGCTCTCCCACTCGCGCCGCAGCTCCTCGCGCAGCCGGTTCTCGGCCTCCTCGCGCTCGCGGTCCGGCAGGAAGCTCGTGTCCACGTCCGGGTTCTTGCCCAGGTGCCGCTGGCGGGCGCCGGCCTCGGGGCCGCCGCTGTCGTCGTCGTCGTCGGCGTCGTCCAGCGAGAAGGACAGGCCGCGGATCTGGCGCTGGCGCGCGCGCCGCCGCTCCCCCTCGCGCCGCGCCTCCAGCCGCCGCCGCTGCGCCTCCCGCTGCGCCCGGCGCGCCAGCTGCGCCTCGCGCTCGCGCACCAGCGCCTCCTGCTTGGCCTTCATGTCGTTGAGCGTCACCAGCCCCACGGTGCTGGACTTGAGCTCGGCCTCCACGGCGTCGTAGTGCGCCGAGAACTGCTTGTCCACCTTGCACTTGCTGATGGTCTCCTCGGCGATGCGCTGCTTCAGCACCTGCAGCTGCGCCTTCTGCTTCTCGCGCTTCTGGATCAGGTGCATGGCGCGGCCCGCCTCGCGCATGGTGCCCTTGTACTGCGCCATGGCCGCGCCGCTACGCGTCTGCCTTCCTGGGTCCCTGGGCTGCCGCGGCTAGGCCATGGCTCCTGCGAAGCGAGGGGAAAGCACGGGGGTTAGCCTTGTTATTATTAAGATTTATTTGAAAGGCAGAGCTACAGAGAGAGAAGGAGGAGCAGAGAGAGAGAGATTGTCCATCCACTGGCGCACTCCCCACATGGCCACAATGGCCAAGGCTGGGCCAGGCAAAAGCCAGGATCTTCCTCCAGGTCTCCCATATGGCTACAATGGCCAAGGCTGGGCCAGGCCAAAGCCAGGATCTTCCTCCAGGTCTCCCATGTGGGTGCAAAGCACCTGGGCCATCTTCCACTGCTTTCCCAGGCGCATTAGCAGGGAGCTGGGTCGGAAGTGGAGCAGCCGGGACTCCAACCATGTCTGCCTGGGACGCCAGTGTCCCAGGTGGCGACTTTACCTGCTATGCCACCAGCACCAGGCCCGAGTTACCCATCAGATTCAGCGCCCCTAACAGAACTTGCTACCTTGATGGAAAATGTCCAACAACCACAGGAAGCCGCTGAGCACTTGACAAGCAGCAGGCGTCACCAGGCACCGTCCCTCCCTCCCTTTCTTTGGATTTTAATTGACTCCCATGCTGGGCGGTGCGGGACCAGAATTAGGGGGACGTACATTGGCCTGCAGAGCTATCGATTACCTGGTCAGGTGCTGTTACCTGCCCAGGTGTCCTCAACTGTCCCGGTTACTCTATCAGCCACACCCATGCTGTCTTTGTTGAGCCCGCCCTGTGCCTGGTGCCGAAGCGTGCGGCAGCGATGTGGGCACGGTGGGCGCGGTGGGCACGGTGGACGTGGTGGGCACGGGCCTGCTTGCTGTGGGAGGCAGAGCCTCTCAGGAACTGCACTCGTGTGCGTGTGTGGCGATTGTTTTTGTGCCAACACAAACACCTCCTAACCCCTTTTCCAGGAACTCTTTGAAGTACCCTCATGCCCGGTAGAGCAGGGCTAAGGACCACATTTCCTGTTTGGTGTCGCAGCCAGAGCAGCGCGCGGCTTCCCCCTCCCTTGATTGGATTCAGCTCGAGCTGACAGGAGTGGTCCTCTCCTGCCTCACCTCCGGCAGCGCGGCCTCTCACCCGACCTGCACCCCACTGCGCGCACCCCCAGAGACCCTCCCACTGTGCCCCCTGGAATCCAGAGCCTCTCTTCGCTTTCTGGCCCTCAGATTGAGCCCAGCTGCCCCCTGAGGACATCACTTGGCCCTGCGGCCACCTGGGTCAGAGGGACTTTGTCCTTTTCCGCATCACCTCCGCGTCTGACAGTCGGGTGAGTGTCTACTCTTCACGGATGCGTCTTCCTTCCCACGACTCCCGTATCACTCCCCCTACTGTTGTCATCTCTGGGGTTCCCTCCCCTCCTGCCTCCTGATCCTTGCGGATTGCGGGCGCCTGGCTCAGTCGCCTTCCTCTTCCATCCCCCTTCATGGCTGTCTGGGGTCTCACCATCATGGCCTAGGCACCGGCCATCTTCCCTGGCCCTGCCTCAGTCTCGTGCCACGGCCATGAGACAGCACCGCCTTCAGAATCTTGACCCTGCCGTCTTCCCGCCCGCCCACTCGGCCACTCCAGCTCCAGCTCATGAGCTCCGGATCCAGAGACTGTCACGCCCACCAGGGAGTGCACCTGTCCCCAGTGTCCTCCCGCTGTCCTGGCCACCGGAACAGACCTGAATGCTGGTTGAGCCCGGCCTCTGTCTCATCTCCTGAGTCAAGGGAGCTCAAAGTGGCTGGAGAGAATGGCAGAACGCTTGTTGGCTGGTCTGTCTGCACTCTCGTGAACTCAGCGCCTCTGCAAGGGACACACACTACCGCACACTTCTGTGCTGTCAAGTCCCTGTCGTGCTCTCCAAGACAACTCTATCACACCTCCTCCTGCGACCCCCAACCCGTCCCACCGGCACCCACTGGAGGGGGTGTTTTCTTGGGACCCAAACACGGCAGCTGCTCCCTTACCTACAGAATCCTACCCCTCCTAAGTGCCACAGCACAGACTGCATTCAGTTGCTCAGATCTGTCATACACAGTCGTTTCCCCCAAATCCGTGTTCTGTGACAGAAGGGTTCCAAGCTCAAACGACTTTGGGAAACTCGGAGTTACAGAGGGTGCAAGGGCGTGGGCGTTTGGTGCTTGGGGTGCCCGCGTTCCGTATGTTCAAGCCCTGGCTCTGCTTCCAGTTCCAGCTTCCGGAATTATGTGATCATTCCTGGGACGCAGCGGCAGGTGGCCCAGGCGGTTGGGCCCTGCCGTGCGTGTGGGAGACCTGGGTGGAGCTGACGGTGCTCCGCTGCAGCCTGGCTCAGCCCCAGCTGCTGGAAGCGTTTGGGGAGTGAACCAGCACACAGGGGAGCTCTCTCTCCCCCCCCCCTCCCTCTCTCTCTGCCTCTCAAAAAAAAAAAATAAACAAAATCAAAGCCAAGAAAATGAAAGTATCAGGGCACTCAAATGGAATTAAAACATCAGTTTATTTCGCTGTGAAAAAAACTGAGCCCCACGGTTTTTCCATGACGCATACTGTCCATGAACTTTCTGAAGACCTTGAATGTAAGCATTTTCTGTGCGCCTTGAATGTGCCAGTTCCTACCGCAGCTCCCTAGTAAGGAGGCGGAACATGTAATGTTCCTCCTGGAAATTTGTTCATTTTTTTCTTTTTAGATTGATTTATTTGTTTGAGAGGCAGAATTACAGCGAGAGGGAGAGACAGACAGAGGTCTTCCATCCGATGGTTCACTCCCCAGGTGGCCGCAACAGCTGGAGCTGTGCCAATCCGAAGCCTGGAGCCAGGAGCTTCCTCCAGGTCTCCCACGTGAGTGCAGGGGCCCAAGGACTTGGGCCATCTTCTACTGCTTTCCCAGGCCAAAGCAGAGAGCTGGATCGGAAGTGGAGCAGCCAGGACATGAACTGGCGTCCATATGGGATGCCGGCACTGCAGGCGGAGGCAGTAATCTACTTATGCCACAGTAGTGGCCCAGATTTGTGGTCATCAGATGTTAACATTGATCAAAGCCAGTGCAGCTCAGGACCAGGTTTGGAAAAAAACGAAACGTATGGCAGTCTTCCAGCCCCGTCCCATCTACTGCGGTGACGCTTGGGAGTGCAGCCGTGTTGTGGAACCCCTTGTCATATCACAGACAACACGGTGCTCACATGCCAACAGGACACTGTCATGGTGTGGCCACCAAGTGACCAGATCTGTTCCAGGAAAGTCCCTCTCCCACCATTTGCTCCTAATCAGGAAATCAGCCCGCCTTTCCCCCCTTACATCCTCTCACTGCTGGCCCATCCTGGTGCATTCTCACTCTTGGCTTTGCCTGCACCATGAAACATCTCACACTGTCGCTCTCTTACCCGACGGCCCACAGTGGGCAGCCGCCCCCCGGAACTTCCCAGCAGTACTGCGCGGAAGCTGCCTCCTTAGAGCTGGCCTTTGGTCGCTCTCTTCCCAGGAAGTGCTGCCTCGGGGTCCGGCCCCTGTCACCTGGGGGCAACATTTAGCATACCCCCCACCTCCACCTGCAGCACCACAGGCACACAAACCCCCGACACGACACCCTCCTCAATCCCTTCATCACACTCAACAGAGAGGAGGTTGCTGGATGCCCCAGCAGCCACTCCTTCATCCAGTCAACCGTGGTCTCCAGTCTAATCGGAACTCAGGTGCCAATATGGTCTGCAGACTTCACTCACCTCCTTCCCCCGTGGTCTTGCGTTTACTCCTAACTCACCGCCGCCAAACACCCTCGCCAGCCCCTGGAACGAAAGGGCTCTGCCCACAAGTCTTGGAAGCACTTTAATCCGGAGTCTGAAATCCAGTCTTTAGCCTGTTCCCACCCTGAGTCTCCAAATGGTAGCCTCCTCGGGCAGCCTCACTTGTCCACCTAACTCACCAAGACTGCTGTCCACTCTCCTTAATGCCATCAGCAACAACAATGACGCAGGCGGGGAGGGAGCCTCGGTCACCTGCTGGATCCAAAATGCCGATCAAGGCACCGATTTTAATTAACTGGGAGGAAATGCAGCTCCCTCCGGGCTTAGCCATTCACACGCAGCAGCAGGCAAGAGAAAAATTCTCACAAAACTGAAAACAAATTCTGTTAACAGGAAAGAGAAAATGACTCAGTTTCCAACCTAAAGAACGATAACAAGACCCCGAAAGGAGACTTCATGTCGACATCCGTTTTCAGCTCACCTCCACCGGCCTGAGCTCTGTTAGCAAAGGTCACCGATCGTCCTACAAGTGGGAAGGTGACACGCTGTCTGTCCACAGCCGGCCTGGGAAGGGGAGGGCTGCGAGGAGAGTGGTGTCTGAGGGGGCCTGACCCTCCCCGGGCAGACTGGGCCCAGCACATGACACCTGCAGCGTCCGGTCACCTGCCCGGAGCTCCATCAACAGGATCTTCAAAGGTGAGTGAAGAAATGGCACCATCAATGCTTTCCTGCCGGGGTCAGGAGGGGTCTCCCGATGTGCCGGGGTCAGGGGGGTCTCCCAATGTTTGCTGGGTGCAAAGCCAGCCCAAGAATGGTGGCATGCCACGTGGCAGCCAGCAGGAGAGTGGTGGCATGTCACGTGGCAGCAGGAAGAGCCCTTGTGTGTTCCGAGACAGGGAAGTGAAAAAATCTACTGGGTGGGAAAAGTTGGACCAACAACTTGTAACTGCTGTGTGTGATCCCCTGGGAAAAAAATCCCAGACCAGAGAAGGAGCAATTGAAACCTGGGGGGAAGGTGTCAGAGATCCGAAAATGGGTTCCGTAGCATCAGTGTCTTGTGAGTTTGATGAGACCTGAATTTTTCCTTACTTTTTATCAAAGTGAGACTTGTTTGGGAAGATGAAAAATGATTTTACGTTCTTGGTCTGAGAAAAATGCTGGCAAAAGCCAGCCGCCCCCGGCTACTGCTCTGTTTCCTGGGAGGCAGCCGTCCCAACCCCCCAGGTGTTACCTCTGGGATTTACCTTCTCATTTTTCAGTAATGCTTTTCTGTTTCTTTTATTTGAAAGCCAGAGTTACAGAGAGGGCAAGA